AGGTGGTTGCTACCTCGGCATGCTCTTGCCTGCAAGCCCACTAATGTTGCCCACTGGTCACCATACAATCCTTGGTTGTATGGCTCTCTCTTCTCTTGCCTCATCCTTGCCTTTATCTCGAACACAGATCTGGACTTTCTGCAAAGAAGGGATGGTGGGGCAGCCTGTTTTGACCACTGATGTATCCCCGGCACTCAGATAGTGCACAGGACAGAGAAGTGCTCGGTGAAGATTTGTGGAAGAAAACAAGAACCTATGGAGATGGGACCAGAGCCCTGAAACGCTCCTTGTATTTTGAGTCAGGGTCTCTCACTGAACCTGGAGCTCACTGATTGGCTAAACTGACTGGCCAGTGAGCTCCGGAGAACTAGGATGCCTTTCTATAGCCCCACCCCCAACCCTATCAGTGCTGGGATCATGGAGTCAGGCTGCCATGTGCCCAGCTTTTACGTGGGTGCTAGGATCTGAATTCTGCTCCTCGTGTTTGTTTTCAGGGTTTTTTTTATTTATTTATTTATCATGTATACAATATTCTGTCTGTGTGTATGTCTGCAAGCCAGAAGAGGGCACTAGACCTCATTCCAGATGGTTGTGAGCCACCATGTGGTTGCCGGGAATTGAACTCAGGACCTTTGGAAGAGCAGGCAATGCTCTTAACCACTGAGCCATCTCTCCAGCCCCCTTGTTTTCAGGTTTTGTTGGTTATTGCCATGTATCTAGTGCTCAGAAGAATGCCTGCCATGTAGTGGGTGCTCAATGAGGTTGTGCTAGCGGACCCTTCACCCCCCAGCCATGCCAAGCCAGCTCCCTCATTTTACTTCTTTTCCCATTGCTCAGCTCATCGCTTTTTTTATAACTGGAGTAATATTTCTAAATTTCAGTGCTCTTTGTTCGTTAGAAATGTTGTTTTATTTATGCAGCTGTCTCTCCATCTTTTTTTTTCTTTTCCTTTGCTTTCTGGTACAAGGTCTCACTATGCAGACCAGGGAAGCCTTCAGAGTTGTGGTGATCCTCCCTCCTCTGCTTCCTAAGGGACAGATAGCATCCCAGGCATGAGTCACCAAGCCTGGTTATAATAATACTGTAAGGCCTCCCTCCCCTTGCTGAAGATTGAATGCAAGGGCCTGGTGCACGCCAGGCAGGCTCTCTCCCCAGCCTGACTTTTTAAAAACTGTAGTCAAACCTATAAATTATCTTTCTTATGAGTTCTGACTTTTAACATATTTTTTTGTGTCTGTGGTGCTGATGATCCAGCCTGGGGCCTTGGATGTGCTCAGTATGTGCTCTCCCACTGAGTTTCTCCGCAGCCTTAGGTCAGAGTGTGAAAACTGCACCACCGCCCTGGGTCAGAGTGCAAAAAGGCGCTTCTGCGTCAGACACTGCGACTTCTTCACGTCACCAGTCAATCCTGAGGCTGCAAGCCTTAGGGGCAGACATAGTAACCCAGAAAAGGAGCCTGTATGAAGAAGCATGAAAAAAGGGGAGAGGTCTCATATCCTGAGTCCTTTTCCTTAGTAGGAAGGGGCCTTACCAGCTATCCCCACTGGTAACGTCGGTCATCAAAGCTGGAAGGATTGTGAAGTTCTGGTTTTCTTGTTGTTGTTGCTGCTGCTGCTGTTGGTGGTGGTGGTGGTGGTGGCTGTGGTAGTGAGTGGGTGGAGTGTGTGTGTGTGTGTGTGTGTGTGTGTGTGTGTGTGTTCAGAATTCAGAGGATAACTTTTAGAAACTGGTGTTCTCCTACTATGTTCTAAAGCAAGAGCTCTCCTGTTGTTTCTGCCCATCAAATATGGCAGGATAGTGACCTGTGAGTTTCTGGGCAGTTTTCTTGTCTCCATCTTATCTCAGCAGTGCCAAGATTACAGATGCATGACACCTCATCTGACTTTGTGTATGGGATCTGACTCACATTGTCAGGCTTATGCTGCAGGAGTTTCTGCCCACTGAGCCATCTCACTGGCCTGAGAGACCATTTTTTTAAGCCCAACACCCACCAGAGCATAATAATTTGCCCAAATGGCATATCAGAGTCCCAAGACCCTCTCAGTTCAGCGTCCCTCTTGAGGGACAGCCTCTTCAGCTGGGGTGCTTTCAGATATGGACCCTTCTGGGAGAGGGATATGGGCTTCTTAGCGTTCCATGTCTCCCCAGGTTGCTGGAAGAGCAGACAGGCTGGACTGAGTCTTGTCTCTTCCCTCTTCCTGGCAGGGCTGCCTGAAGCCTGACTTGTCAGCTGCTGGGTCCATCGCCCCCTCACACCCCACTCCTTCCTCAGACCTCCAATAGTGTCCCAAGCAATGAGCCTTCTGGGATTCTCAAGGACATCTGCTGGCTATTGTTGGTTTGTAGAGGACAAGTTTGTTTGCAAAGATGGACAAGACGTTGGGGTTAGCAGCTTGCAAGCCTGCCCAGGGCCCGAGCCCTAAAGGGTAGCCAAGGGAACTCTGCTTGGAAACTGGCAGACTTTGTGCTTACCACCAGCCCATTGTCTGTGGTCTGTGAGACTGTAGTCTGCCAATTTCTGTATCTTAACAGCGCTGCATGGGTGAGTGAGAATGGGGTCTGAGAGGCTGTGATGTGCATGGAGTTCTGCTCTCGTGGAGAAAGATTCCCTGCCCAGGGTGAGCATCTTAACTCACAATTCCTCCTCACCATATAACCATATATATGGCCTATATTAGGTTATTATATATATATATATATATATATATATGTATATATATGGTTATATTAGGTTAACATATATATAGTTGTATTCCTCCACAAATTCTTCAGTGTAACCAGGGCAAAGACAGGCAGATCACATTGGTCCTGATGCAAGGACAGGACACCATAAGGTAGGAAAGAGGCAAAGGGAAGGGGGCAGTCCAGGCTCATCACGCGTCTACCCCCTACAGGCCATACCTTGGGTCCAGCCTTCCAGGCCCTAGGCCCAGCATGGTCATGGGCTGCATGCCTTCAGGCCTCATCAGGAGGTGCCTGCCTAGCAGCTGGCCTCAAGCACACACATGAAGCACACATGTGAAGCACAAGCAGTGTTTCTGTGACCACTGTTTCCAAGAAGGCTGTCCTGAGAGGGCCCCATGGAGGAGATGGGGAAAGAAGATACTCAAATCCCTGGAGCTGACAGAGGCCTCCGGCTGGCCTCCAGGGCTGCCAAGGATTCATGGAAACCCGTAGATAATTGTCATGTGGAGGGGCCTTCACTTCTGTGGCCCCAAGGTGCCCATGGCAGGCTTGTGTCCTCATAGCAGCAAAGATGTTCATCTGGCAGTACAAAGCTCTCCTAGCCTAACTTCATGGAACTCAGACATACCAAGCCCTAGAAAAGTCAAATCACAAATCATTCTGGACATTCCCACTGGTGTGCAGGGAAACTGGCTCTGAGAGGGAGCATCTCAGAAGGCACAGAGGTGCTATGACCCAGGTCTCTTGGCTTGCCAGCCGCTGTCACTCCTCCATCAGAACACAGGAAAGCAAATGGGCTGGGTGACCACACTGTGGCAGGGCACACAGTGAGAACAGTGTGCTAGAAGGAAGTCCTCTGACTTAGGGGAGGCCCTGGTCTGTGAATGCTCCACCTCCATTACACCTACCCTTACCATGCAGGGGGGGCGGGTATCTCCCCTCCACCCTCCCTTAGTATGCAGAGGGATGGGCAACTTTCATCAACACCTCTGCAGATGGTGATAGGCCCTGCTGGGTCCTGTTGGGGAAGGGAGGGAGTTCAGTCCTCAGTCATAGGCAGAGGAGGAGTCTGCAGAACTGGCGTGTCTAAGGCTGGGAAGCCCTGTTCTCACCTCCTAATGAGACAACTTGTTAGGCAGGGACTGCAGGCTGCAGCAAGAGAGGAACATGGCAGGGGATGTGGGCTTGGAGTCTTCTGGAAAGAGCCGCCCAGGCAAAGGGAATACCAGGACAAAGGCTGGGGTGCGGGGGTCAACTGGGGATGAATAAGGGAGTTGTGGCTCCTGTTGGGGTCACCCATGCAGTGCCAAGGCCCTGAAAATCGAGTTAAGCAGCCTTCACAAATGTTCCCAGGGCTAAGCCATGCTATTTCCTTTTCCCGTGCTAGGAGGCAGGAGGTTTCTGTCTGGTCCCAGCCCTCATTGTCCCATAGGATGTACATGAGATGCTAGGACCTGAGGAGCAGGTGGCATTGAGGAGTTACAGACAGAGGTACCCGCAGAAGCTTAAGGGAGACTGTGCCTGCAACAGGGGTATACCATAGGCTAGGGAAGAAGCAAGAGAGACCCCAAAGGATAGACAGTGTATGAGGCAGAGGTAGGGAGGAAAATGGCTTCATGGGCTACTGTTCTGTGGTTCAGGAAGCAGGATAATGCTACAGAGGGGAGACGGTACTGGAAGGAATAGACAGCCATACCTATCCAGCCTACAGACTACAACCTATATCCAGCCTCTTGCAGCCCGGAGTCTTGGTGAACACAGCTCAACACAAAATCATAGCATAGACTTACTTAAAACCTAAAACTTGTATTTTTCAATTTTATTATTTGTATTTTATAGTGTGTGTGTGTGTGTGTGTGTGTGTGTGTGTGTGTGTGTGACAGCAGGTGCATGTGGAGATCAGAAGGAAACCATTGTCGAGTCAGTTTTCTCTTCCCCAGGGGTTTCTGGACTCCGCCACAGGTCATCGGGCTAACACAGCAAAGGGTGAGCCAACTGATGCACTTGTTCTTTGGCAACAAGGTCTCATGTAACCCAGGCTAGCCTCAAACTAAAGTAGCTAAAGATGCCCCTGAACTTCTGATCCTTTTGGTCCTCCTGCCTCTACCTCTTGAGGACTGGGATTATACGTGTGTACCACCATCGGCAGGTTTTATAAAATTTCTTCCTGATGTTTTGTTTGTTTTGTAATTAAATGCATGGTTCCTTAGCCAAAATTATAATGTCAAAAGCTTCCAGATGCTTGGTAGAGGTTATGGGTGATGGTAGGGAGTTTTCCATCAGATAAGTGTGCTTAGCCCTGGCTCTCCCTACAGGTTCCTGGAGAACCAGTGGAGCCCCTGGACCTAGATCCTGACACCAGCTACCTGGCTCCCTGTAATAAGGAGACTGTTGTGGTCACTCTGCATGGAGCTACTGACCTTCCTGCCAGCAAGGATGGCTCTGATCCAAGGCCCTATGTGATGGTGTAAGTGGCTGCGGAAGCAGGGTTAGAGGTGGGGTTGGGTCTGGAAACAGAAACCAGCTGATGTCTGGAAGCTGAACTCCTGAAGGGACTGTGGTACCCAGAGGTATCATACTAAGGCTGTACAAATGAGAAGCCTGTCCTGTTCCCTGCTGTGTGGTAATTGCTGCCAGGACTGAGCAGGGCCTGACCTCCCCAGGGCAAGGTCCTTGTCTGTGGTGCCTATGCTGGGCTCAGTGTGGGACATGGATGGTCAGGGGAACAGCTATAAGCACAGATCTGAGTTCCAAAACATCTGAAGTTTGTCTTAAGAAAAAAGAACAAAGGGTACATCAATAGAAACAGCACTCCTAAGAATGGGAATGTGTTCGAGAGCTGGAAGGGCAATCATGGAAAAACTCAGCATGGACTCGTTACCTTCTACTGGTCATTTACATCCCATCATGTATAGAATGGGCTTTTTTCTGGAGTCCTGTGTGTTACATGAAGCCTGGGTAGGGAATGGCTTCCAGTGTTTCTTTACCAAAGGGCTCTTTGGCGGCTTCAATCTTTATGCAGCTTTCTGAAGTCCTTCCTTATTCTCCTACCACAGAAAGACTTGGAGTCTGCCTCTCCTGGCTTTTGGGGGTCCCAAAAGGTTATGCTGCTTGCAGGTACCTCTGTGGGCCCTTGCTTCTCACTTCTGCCATGGGACTTCTCGTTCTTTAATGAATTTCTCTCTCTCTCTCTCCATCCCTTTTTAGCCTGGTGGCCAGGGCCTGACATGCCATGTCTGCTGCCCACCTCAGGAGCCTCATTCCTCCTCAAAGAGCATATGAGGCAACACCATAGCCAGCCAGCTTTCCCTCTCGAGGGACATTAGTACTGCGCTAGAATGGGGCTTTCTGGCTTCTGCACTTTCCCACAGTTCTACCTGACACCTCCCTGCCTGAGTCCCTGCCTGCACCCCTGCCTGCACCAGGCACTTCCCACCCACTGCTTAGTCCCTTTGGAGAATGCCTGCCCCCAGGAGGCTGCACACAACACTGATTCTTCACCTTCAAAGCATTCCTCCCGCCTCCTCCTCCAGGCAGTCAGCTCTACCAGGGTAGATCCCCTAGCAACGGCAACACACGTGTGTTTCTAGTCTGTCCCCAGAACGGAGGCTTCTTGCAGATCTCAGGTCTTATTCTCCATTTCTCCAGTCATGCACCCAACATGGTCACAGACTAATGGACCTAGGATGCAAAACTTGGCTAAGATGACAAGCAGCCCTTCTCCCACCCCCTCTCCCACGAGGTACAGAGGCTGTGCTGAAGAACAACAGGTGAAGAAGCTCTTGCCTGGTTGGCCCAGAAAAACCCCACTAGCCCCAGCCCAGCTTCTTGCCCTCCCCTCCCCCAACTCCATTTCTTAACCAGGGAAGGGACAGGTGGCTGAAAGCTGCTTGGCGGGAGGTTGGTTTCTATTGGGAAATGTCCCTCAGCTTCTCAGCTATTTCCATAAACCAATTATCACTGATCATCTCAGGAGATTGAGGCCCTGCTTGTCACCAATCCAGCCTGGGCTGTGGAGGGGAGGGTAGCTGGATGGCTGTGTTATTCCAAGACCCCTGCCCCATCACCCTGTTGCCATAGGAACATGCAAGGGAGGGGAGTCTAGGGGACATGAGCCTGGATAGGAGTGTGAAGTGCTGAGAACATCCTGGTTCCTCTGACCCACCAGCACAGCATGCAGTGTAAAAAGTGGGAGGCATGCATCCCTGCTTCCTTTTTCATGATGGGAGCAGGGCCTGTGCCAGGCTCCAGCCTGGTCCCAGAGCTCCAGGCTGAGCTGCCAGCAGCTCTGAGTGGTGCTAATGAGATGCAAATGAAAAGAAGAAGGGAGGGCTTCTGGGAATGAAGGCCCAGCTGCCAGGACCTAGAGCCGGCTTTCAGTGCTAACCCCCAGCCCCAGGTAGGACTCCCAGAGGGAGGAACAAAAACTCCCAAGTCTCTAGAGTTGGACCCAAGACCCCAGGAAGAGTTTGATGTCTTCCCAGAAATGATTACAATATAGAACAACAAAGTATGCAATAAGAAAGTCCACTAAAGTCTTTTCTCATATGGATATTTCAATGTGTGTGTTTTTTTAATTATAAACATTTGAATGTAAAATCTGAAACTGTTAAGATCTACAAGTAAACAGTTTCCCCTAGGATCCTTACATTGGTCTTGGCAATGATTTTTTTTTTTAATTTGACATCAAAAGTATAAGCAATGAAAGCAAAATAAACAAGTGTGTGACAAGAAGCTGAAAAGCTCCGTGCAGCAAAGGAAAACCTCCACTGACTTGAAGAAACAGAATGGGCTAAAACGCATGCACACCACACATCTACCGAGGAGCCGACGCCCAGAGCGTATGGAGAGCTACACCCTCCAGTACCAGAAAACCAACCGGATTTTGAAAAAGGGCCCTGATAAGGCAGCAGACACCTTTGATCCCAGATACAAAGAGGCAGAGGCCAGTAGATCTTAGGGAGTTCAGGACAGCCTGGTCTATAAAGTGAGCTCCAGAACAGCCAGGGACACAAAGTGAGGCCCCGTCTCAAAACAACAACAACAAAAACCAAAGCAATAACAGGCAGATGAACCTAGAAGTATAGCTCCAAGGTAGAGTGCTTGCCTAACATATGCCACACCCTGGGTTTGATCCCCAGCCAAACCTAGCTTGTCAGCACTTGGCCACCGGGGAAGATTAGAAGTTGAAGGCCATCATGCTTGGCTCTGCAGTGAACTCAAAACTAGCCCATGCTGCACCAGACTCTCTTAAATAGGTGCAGATAACTGGGTGACAGGCGACAGGAAAAGGTGCCCAGCACTGCTTATCACCTCAGATGTCGAAGTCAGGACCTGAAGGCCATCCCACACATACCCGTTAAGTGGGTTGTTATCAGAAAGACAAGTAGCCACCAGAATTGGGGCGCTTGGGATGACTCAGAAGGTAAAAGTGTTTGTCACTAAGTGTGACAATTCAACCCTGGAACCCACATATAAGAGAGAACTGATTCCCACAATTTATTCTCTGACCACACAGACACTATGGCCCATGTGCCACTCCATCCCATGAACACTCAGATAAACAAAATTAATTGGTTAACTCATTAAATGCAATAAAATTGCAAATATTGGTGAGAATGTGGAAGGGAGGAAATCGCTCTACACTATGGCTAGAAATGCAGATTCATACAGTGGAAAACACCATGGATACACCTCAGACATTAAAAATAGGATTAGTATAGATCAATCCCACCTCCATATACATATCCAAAGGAAATGAAGTCAGTGTCGTGAAGCAATGTCAGCATCCCTGTATTATAGCATCCTCACATGAAGAGATGGAATAAGCTTAAACATCTGCCCATCAATGAATGGGGAAATTACATGCACACACATTCACACACACATATGCACATACATACACGTGTCATGTGTAACTTCCTCTAACGCGGAAGGCATGATGTTAAGTTAAAGAAGCCAGACGTATAAAGACAAATACCACATTATTTCTTTTAATGTGGAATCTTGTTGAATTCACAAAACAGAGAGTAGGATGGTGCCAGGATCTAGGGACGGGGAAAATAGGGAGATGTCAGTCAGAGAGTCCAAACATCTACCTACAAGGTGAATACATTTGGGAATCAACTCTACAGTACGGCAATACTGTTAATATTGCGTTGTAGACTTTTAATGTGGTGAGTTTTTGGCACGCCCACCACATACACACAAAAGGATAACTGTGAAGGGGTGGGTGTGTTAGCCTGATTGCATGGTATCGTTCATAGTAGGTAAGTATGTCAAATCCTACTATACATTTCTAATACATATTATTTTTACTTTCCAATTATACCCCAATTAGGTCAGAATATATATACACACACACACACACACACACACACACACACACACACACACACACACATATATATATATATATATATATATATATATATTCTTACTCCATATATAACTTCCACTCCAAGTATTTTTACTCTGCTTTCTGATGTCCTGTGTCTAGTCATCCAGCTTGGCTTACTGAGTTCTGCCTATCCATGTTGGCCCACCTCAGGTCAGGGTGGGGATTCTGTGTCCTTTTCTGAGACTTCTTCTGTCTTCTTTGGCTTTATTGTTCTTCCAATAGGCAGATTCATAGTTGAGGTACTGGGTGGAACACGAACCCCAAGCTGCTCACTCATCTGCTTCACTAGTGGGAGCTGCCAAGGGTTCAGGTCACTTTACCCCTCTGTAGACATTAGCCCCAGCCAGTCCAGTTACCACAGCTATCTAGCCAACTAGGTTCAGTGGCTTATTTTTTGGTTCTGCAAGTCTCTATTCAAGCCACCTTCCAATCCCACCCCATGGCAACAATTCTCTCTTTAGTTCCTTGCGGGCACAGTACCTCAACTACATCCAAGGGACATCTCATCTGTATGGTCCCCTAGTAACACTAGTGATACATGATTAATATTGGGGTTCAACCTGAATATCTACAAAGCAAAACAGACAGCCACTGACTCTTACCTCAACCTCAGTCAGAAATAGAGATCCTGCCTCCAGGAATCTCAGAATGAGACTGTGTCTGAGAGCTGTTTCTTCCTGTTTTATAATCATCTCTAGTTCTGGGATTAAAGGTGTGCACCCCTGGGATTAAAGGGATGTACCGCCTGGTTTCTATGGCAACTAGTGTGGCTACTGGGATTAAAGGTGTGTGTTAACACTGCCTGGTCTGCAAGGCAGCATTAAGTGTTGGTCCACCTTGTTTCCTCCAAGGCTACACATTTCTGATATTCTCCATGCCATCTCGTGCCCGTCCTGGCATCAGGAATCCCATCCTGGCCCATCCAATCTATCTATGTCTTAGAGCACCAAAACCCCTACCCTTATCTCTTAAATTTGGTCATGTCTCTTCACCACCCAACAGGCCACTATGCTTTCTCACCTGTTCTAGGTACATCTAATCTTGCTCATTTGCCAAGTTCCTTCTAA